TCTCCCTTTTCCCACCCCCAATTAAGAAAAAAGAAAAACAAGCAGCAGTTAATTGAGGCATGATTGGAGTGTAATGGGTAGAGGAAACTGATGACTTTGTTGGGTGCTATACAACCTATTTTAGATAGGCTTACATTCTCACAAAGAACCTGGTACATATATGGAAGTGCTCCTAAACGCATTTTTGTCTGAGGAAGCATCATCCAATAGCCAGGGTTGCTTTTGACTAGACCTCAGCTTGTTTGCCAGTTGTGACCTTATTCAGAGAGAATGAAACTTGCTTCCCTAAAACACAGGCAGATTATTTCCAGGCTAGATTACCATTCCACATTTTGTGGGGGGCTGCCTATTATGCACCAGCTGATGGTCAAGAACTGTTAGCTGCTGCATAATGGAGCAACAGAAGAACCCTGTGTGTGAAGGAGAAAATAAATAATATTATACGTGTTTTGTACTAACTGTTGGCTCCCTGTACATTTCCAGGCTCAAGTTAAGTTACAAGGTTTAGCCTTTAAAACCCTAAATGTTTTTCGACCATCCTATCATATGGGCCACCTTCACCTGCATCAGCTTGCCTGCAATTCTGATTGGTTTGTAAGGTCCCACTCTCCTGCCCTTTAGCAGAGGTTATTATGATGACAGGCAGCCCGGCACGGCCTCTTGTGTGATAACACAAGATCCCTTTGTAATAGTCTTCCCAGGTATAGCTATGTGGGACACCTCTTATCAGTCTTTAGAATAGCTTTCGTCTTTTTATTCTGATGGTACTATTTCTGAGAACTGCTGGTCCTGCTCTTATATTATCTTGGCATTTTACTTCACAATGTTTGAAGCATTTTATTTTCTCTGCATATTCTTCCTTCCTTCCTTCCTTCCTTCCTTCCTTCCTTCCTTCCTTCCTTCCTTCCTTCCTTCCTTCCTTCCTTTTTCTTATGTATATAAGCATACATACACAAGAAGAGAGTGGAAGGAGAGAGGAAGCAGCTTTATTTGCAACTAAATTATTATTTCTAACAATTATTAGAATTCCACAGGTGTCATTTTATAAAAGCTGTCACAAGTGTCCGTTTAGGTTTCACCAGTAGATGGCAGCCTTGTACAAAGCAATGGTTTTCTGTTGCTCAAGCTCTGTCCTAATGTTAAAAAAAGAGAAGTGCCAGAGTTTGGTTCATGTGCGCCTAAAGATGTCTTAGCCCATGACTAGATGCCACCTTGATCAGTTCTGAGTGCTGTGACATGGGGAACAGGCTTTGGCAGAACAACAATCACGGTTGATCTTACATCAGAGTTTCACTCCCCAGTATAAAAACACAAAATAAAAAGCAGACATTTGGCAAGTTTTGACATTTTGACATTTTTTAGAAGAGTAAAATGTAAGTAGAGGAATCATGTCTCATGCCCTAGTATCACACGTTCTGCACCTGTGATGACAGGAATATATTTAGAAAGGCAAGGAAGAAGGAAGGAAAAGTGAGAATGATAGAAAAAGAGAGATTCCTCACTCTTCTCCTGCATTTTGCAAACATTGTAGGGAAAGGTCACTGATGTTTTTCATAATTACACGTTCTGTGAAATTGCTTTAGCTACCTGGACAGAAAACAACATCATTGGATGTGTTTGAGTTACCAAGACATTCAGAACTCTGACTCAGGAAGGGCAACTGAGGCTTTAACCTGGGATGCTAAAAATTAAGATAGCACAAAGAATTCCTGCTGTAAAGTACACACGTACTTTTTGGCATTTGTTGTTAGAAGGATGTGAAGCCACATGTCCCGCATATAGGTACTGCCTCCAGGCACTCTTCTCCGGACAGAAGGAAACATAAAACAGGTGAGCTGGATGCAGAATCAGAATGGCTGTCATGAACTCAGAATGAGGCGTTTCTCCATCTAATGTCTGCATGGCCTAATCGCACATGACCCAAGCTTAACCAAATAAGAGTGAAACTCTAGGCATCAAAGTGGCTGCTTACACTTCTCCACACTGGGATGCATATACATGTTCCGACAGTGGGTTATGTCTAATGCTGCATTCATGTGAGGAAAAAAATGCTCATTCCTTGTGCCCACCAAAGCTACAAAAATACCTGTCCTGATGGCTAGAAGCAGATTCCCTGAGTCAAGCCCTTTCTCAGATTAAGCCTCTACCATCTTGCCTCTCACACTGTAGCTCTTGGCTCACATCAGTGAGTTTTCTCAAGGAAAATGGAACAAGTAATTCCTCCATTGAATACAAGTGATAACGTGCACATTGCAGTGCATTGTATTTATTTAGATATTTATTTAAAGTAGTTTTGCACCACCATTTCACTTGGAAGGCTTTGACGTCAATTTCCACATAGTGTCAGTGTGGTAGTTCCTTTCCCCAGGTTTACAAGCTAAAGGGAGTGCAAGAGAAACCAGATGGGGATGGAGGAGGAAGAACCCAAGCTCAGGCATGCATCCTTGATGTTACAGTCCTTACAACAGCTAGCCGGGATGGAAGCAGTTCCGGCAGCTCCCTGAAGCGAAACATGTCTTTAAGCAGATGTAATGAAAATGTCCAGCTTCACTTCTCTGTCCATGCTGTTGGTCCAGGTGTCACTAGGTGGCTAGTCAACAACAACTTCTGACTCACAAAGCAGCCTTGAATGTTGAGGTTAATAAAGAGAAGTTTCTTTTCAAGAGGGAGTTTCTTAAGGGAAACCCCTCCTAGGGGGCAGTGTTGCTTCAGCTAAGGAGTTCAGTAATATTGTAATTTCTCTACAAACCTTGCTTTTCTTATGAGAAAACGGAAGCAGAGTTATGGTACTATTTGTCCTCACTCTGAACAAAGAGGGTGCCCTCACAAGATACAGAAGAAAAAGGAGAAGTTGGAATTTTTACTTTGTGGGCTAAAATTAACAAAAAGGCTGAGAGATTTTGTGCAGGGCAGGGCAAAAAGTAGTGTTGCATTTTACAAAGATAATGGCTGAAATCCTGTTTAGTTACACCTGCATAACTCAAAGTTGAACAAGTGGTTGTGAAATTCACACCAAGGCATTTCTGCAGGCCAAGTTTCATAGTTATACAGTTGTTTAATCAGACACATGACTTGTGTGGGTGTAACTCTGTGAATTTTGACAAGCATAACGTTACACTGTACTAATTACAATAGGATTTCAGCCACTTTATTTCTACAATGGTGGTGGTGGTGGTGGTGGTGGTGATGATGATGATATGCTAGCAGGTGGTAAGATGTCATATCAATGTTTGTGGTGTATTTACACCTCACCTACCTTAGTTTCCTCCATTGCTGATCCTGAGTGAGAGGTTGCTTATGCCTGATCACATGAAAGCTGTACACAGGCATTCATACATTCAGTTTATCTGTTTATCACATTTGTTTGCTATCCCTTACTCTGAAGATTTCAAGTATCAGTCATAAATTGAGTCCTGCAGTGATTTCCTGGCTAAGTATTGAGCCTCAACAGATCTCTTTGCTTCAAAGGGGGGGCTAGCATTCAGATTGTAAATCAGGAAGTGAGAACTACTATATAAATTGAAGAGATTTATATTTTCCAATCATTGCTTTTATATGCTACCAAGTAACTTTTGATATGGTAACTCTCATAGATAGACTTCAGGATATATGAGAGATTTGTGGAGTGATTTACTATTGCCACTTCTCAGTGAATTTCCATGAATGAACAGGGATTTGAACCAAGATTTCCTAAATCCTAATCTGACACTCTGTCCACTAGATCAAATTGGCTCTCAACATACAATTAGAACATTAGAGCATACAATTAAAATGAGCTTTTAAAGTAGGGGGTTTGTTTGGGTAAGGACTTAGTTGCAAATGAGGCATTGGAAGGAATTCTGGTTGTGTATCTCACCAGCTGCTAACCAGAACCAGACTTCCTAATCGTAGGATAAGAAATTCTTGATTTAGAAACCTGGGACTCTAGATTGTAGCGTGAGACTAACCATAAACCAGAATAATTTAGAGGTGTTTTTTTTTTCATGTGAATGACAGCTTTTCTGGGGATGGCAGATGGATTTGAGACATAGCTGTGAAGGTCCAAAGCAAGCAGCTGGATACTTACTGTTTCAGAAATGTCTCCTCTTTTTATCCTCATTCTACCCTTAGTCTCAATAGTTCATCAAACTAGGATGAAATTCTTGAAATGAGAACATTAAGCTTTTTCAAGGCAGTGTTAGATTACAACATTTGGAAAGGAAGAAATAGCTAACCTCAATTATATTTATAGAGAGATCCTTCAACTCCTTTGTCATAAGAGGAGCAAAACCCAGTATGTCTTCTTAATTCCCTGGCATCCTCACATCTTTCCACAGAAATGATTTGGCTAATTAGTATTTCCTAAGAATAGGGAAGCATTTCATTTTGCTTTTCGTTTTGAGAAAGGCTTAATAAAGTCACATCTATTATCAATATACAAACTGAAAACAAGAAAACATCTCATGCCATTCCTCATTTTCTTCAGCATAGAATTTTGTGGACTGAAACCTACATCATCAGTTGCAAAATGAAAAGCAGAATGTAGTTAGAGTACTCTTTATTCTCATAATTCTGTAGTGCAGTTCCCAGAGCTAAAAAATGTATACAAAATATGTTCATCAGAGCAAAGCAAAATGTGTACATTACTATGGGGAAGGGAACACACAAAACATAATTAAAGGAATGAAAACATTTTGCAAAAATACGTTTGTGAGGAAAAATTGTGTCCAAGAATGTCTATATTTGAATCAAGGCAGATACAAATTACGTATAGATTTTTGGTGGTGGTGGTGGTGGTGGTGGGTAAAATGGAAACAAAGAGTCCAAACTAAAGAAATTGGGGGGGGGGGAAGGGAGAGAGAGAGAGAAATCCGCAGCTTGCTTGCGTGCTTGCTTCCTTCCTAATGTACACACACACACACACACACACATTATTTTCCTGGTCATCTGAACTCTTTGTCTCCATGTGTAATGTACAGTCTTATTATCTGTAATTTCTCTCTCTCTTGCCTCCTTTGCAGGTATAGTTCTCATGATGAACTTCTGTGATGAAGTCGATGTTTACGAATTTCTTCCTTCCAAAAGACGAACAGACATTTGTCATTATTACCAGAAGTTCTTTGACCAAGCCTGCACTATGGGCGCCTACCACCCACTGCTCTTTGAGAAAAACATGATAAAGCACCTTAATCGAGGAAAAGATGAAGACATTTATAATTACGGAAAAGTGACTCTGACTGGCTTAAGGAATATACAGTGTTAGAAGTGTGGTTCCCTCATTCTGGGCTTGGAAAGCCTTGAATCACAAGGCACTTTAAAAAAATATTTTTTTTTTTTATAAAGGACCTGCCAATAAGTGAGTAGGTTGTTAACAATAAGCAATTCATCTGTTCAATATGCCTTAATTAATAGCTGGAGGATATATCAGAGTCATGTAGCATTTAGTCACACAGGTCCTGTAAATGACTGCAGCTGTACAGCACATAGTATCTTTGATGAAGAACCTGGTGTTCAAAAATCCAGAATTACATTTCTAGCCCATATGACTGCATCAGAAAACAAAAACAATAGAAAATATATAGACAATTTCTTCTTAAGGGTAAATACAAAGAGCCTCCAATTGAACCTTTTACTGCGGAAGAACTGCTTGGTTCCTGTATCCCAGAATACTCCAGGAATGCTTACAGACAAACTTGTACTTTTTTAAAAAAATCGTGCCATTTAATTTGGTATTAGACAGAGAATTTTACATCTGGACAATCTTAGTTTGATTCTTTCCCCTCCCTTCAAGGATCATAGAGTTTCTAGGTATTTTGGTGTAAAATTAAATTTTCATGTATGTATGCAATGATAGGTGAATCTGGAAGGTGATGCTGACCAGCAATGCCAGCATAAGCTTTCCCAGGCTCTCCATGACACAGAACATTATGGGGAGGGAGAGATGAGGTGGCGGCAAGTGGAAGCACTGCCCCCCCCGTACTGCCACTGCCTCCCCACCTCTGTAGCGTGGCCACTTCTCAGATAGTTGTGTGACCTTCAAGGCCAGGCATTAATCACATAGCCTGTTGAGAAATGGTCACCCTACTGAGTGTAGGAAAGAGCTAGAAAAAAGGTTGGCAACTCAAGTGGGAGGAAGCAGGTGAGGCTGTGCTGCTGCCTCTAGTTCTTCAGTGCCTGCAGTGACCCCCTCACTCTGGCTAATGGCCAGCCTGGCCCTGGTGGAAAAGATGGCCAGTGAGTAAAGCAGGCTTCCTCTGCCTGTCAGCATCTACTGCTGGTTGTTGCGTATCAGGACATGGACAAAGTCAAAACTGACAAATCAATGATCTGAGCAGAGCTTGGAAATCTTGAGGTACCAGTTTCTTGTAATGTTACCTCTCTTTATTGTTATTATTATTGTTATTGTTATTATTATTATTGAAAATGCAACTGCAATGCAATTACATTTCAAAAATAACAGTGAGAACGGCATTGCTTGTTTTGATTTTCTAGTTGCGTTTTAGAAGCCTATTGAATGAGAGTTGTCACATTTTGTCAAGTCTCTTAACAATCTTTTAATGTCTTCCCCCACCCCATAATGGAAAAATAATGAGTAATGCAACATTATTTCTTAGACATTGTAACAAGTAAAAGCAATCAGTTATTAGAAGCACTGTAAAAATTAAGGAATGTAATGATTAGTGGGAACAACTAATATTTCAAAAGCAATTTCCAGGTTCTTGTTCTAAATTAAAAGATCAAGTGCCATAGGATGAAAAGCAGGAGAGTAATCAGAGCTGGGTTATAGACTCTAAGGATATAATTAAGATTCACAAGATTTTTCATTCTTGGTGATGGTTCAAATCTTGCCATGCTGAGACCCTTCATCAAGATCTCCTTGCTTCTCACAAAAACTGGCATGCCAGAGCTCCCTGCCGAGGCTTCCCCCTTGCACCAGGATAATATCCTCCTCAAGAAAACAAAATCCTGGTCTCATTCCCCCACTCCTTACTTTTTTCATCCTTCCTTCCCCATTGTTATGCACAGGAAACTGCCAAATTCTGCATAGCTTTCTGCTGAATTCTGTGTAGGAAAGGTGTTATTCTATGTAGCAATCATAACAGTTCGTCACAGCATGACATTTCTTCTAGAATGAATGACCACTATACTTTCCATGAGATTTTTCTGGAATTACCAAAAAAAATATATTGTGCAGAAAAATCTCACTACAGGAAGAAAGGAGTATTTTTCTTCAAGAATGAGAGAGCCTGTGATGGTCATGACTCTAGTAAGCTCGTTTTTGTGACAGAACATCAAGACTGATTGGGAAAAAGCAGTAGCATAGCTGGAATCAAGTCAAATTCCCAAAAATACAGTGGTGCAGGGCAAGACTCTGATTGGCTATCACATGTGCCACAAAGCAATGAACCAGTTGTAAGGCACTTAATCTCCAGAGTGGAGATTAAGTGACCTTCTAGATGTTGGATTACTGAAACCCCATTAGCTCAATAGTTGCAGTCCCCTAACTGCATGGCTACATGTTCACCACCACAGAAGCAAATGCATAGGTAGCAGAGATGGTGCAGCAGAAGTAGTATAGTAGTACAGTGGATCATTTTGAGGAGAAAGGCGGTGTGAAAATATTTTAAAGAAAGAAAATGCCAGCACTATGTCTTGGCACCTTACACTCTCATAGATACCTGCCTTTCTTATTATTACTATTAGAAGTAGAATAAATGTTGCAAAATAATTAAATACACATATTTGTTTCATTTACATGATATTTGCATGGTACAGAATCCAGATGTTCTTGGCATGAGATTTGAAAGGTAGTGTTTTGTTTTGTTTTTTGGCTATACTCACTTGTATATGAGGAGGCCCATCTCTCCCTTTTCCCTCCTGCAGTTCTACCCCTGGACTAAAAAATTCCTTATTTCATGATCTATGTCAAAATGTGGGAAAATAACATGCAAGTGAACAAGTTTGTGATAATTTTCGTGGACTGTGTATGTCCTTCTGACACTAATGTTTGAGTTTTGTGGTTGCAGAGTTCAGTGTTCACTATGTTTGATACCTCTTTGTATGTGGAAATGAAAGTAGTGCATGTATTATAGGAATCCACAGGGAGCTGAAGAAGTTCACGTCCCAGTCGTACTGAACTGACATCACAGTTGCCAGTATTGGTGCCAAACCGTAGGATACCCAACTCATTGTAGGATACTACAACTCATTTATAGTACTTCAGATATCTCTCAAAAACAATTGCATTGCAATCTTGTAAAAAGTTAAAAACCATTCTTTTGCTTAAAAAATGCTCCAAATTCTATGCATCTGGTCTGGATAACCCTGAAGATGGATCTTTGGTTTTAGTAAAAAAAATCCTACGAAGGTCATTATTTTCATATTTTGCTTGCAAGAACATGGTCACTGGGTGAAGGTTTTTCTTCATGGTGAGCTGGATAACTATTGCAGTACATTTGATATCATAGAATTACATGGTTTGAAGAGACCAAAACTCCTCTTATTCAGTCCTGTTCTCTAAAGCAGGAGCACTGTCATCTCTCTCCTTCTGTCCCACCTACTGTACCAGTGCAAGCAGATGCATCCATAAAATATACCAAATTACCTAGCTCCAGGTGACTTAATCTAGAAAAGTTTTCACTTTTAGTGGTACATGCAATATGGCAGTTCATGCACTACAGTGGACCCTCGACCTACAGAATTAATCCGTATTGGAACGGTGTCCGTAGGTTGAAAAGTCTGTAGGTCAAAAATGCATTTCCCATAGGAATGCATTGAAAACCATTTAATCAGTTCCAGCCCAAGGACCCCCCCACAAACAATTTAAAATAAAATTTTAAAAAATTAACCTGACCTTTTTGAAGCCTTCCTGAGGGCTTTGGCGCCGCTGCCAGAGGCCTCTTGGAGCGCCCCCACCAATGCAGGCTTTCCCAGGGTGGACCGGGCCTACCAGGGAGGGCTTTTCCCAGTAGGCCTGGTCTACTGCCAGGGGAAAGCCTGGTAGACCGGGCCTACCAGGGGAGGGCTTACCCCGGTAGGCCCAGTCTACTCCCCTGGCTTTCCCGGGCAGTAGAAGGGGCATACTGGGGGAAGCCCTCCCCTGGTAGGCCCTGTCCATCTTGGGAAAGCCTGCGTCAGTGGGGGGGGAACCTCCGGAGACTTTCCCCACCGCCATGGGAGGCTTCTCGGAGGTCCCCCGCCACTGCCGATAGTGCCTCTGAAGCACTATTGGTGGGGGGGACCACTGAGATGCCTCCCATGGTGGCAGAGAAGCCCTGGAAGGCATCCAGAGGTCCCCTGCTGCCACCACTGCCAGGAACCAAGCCACACCGGACGATCCCGGCCATGCTCGGACTCCTAGGAGCAGCTCGGCTCCCAGCGGCGGCGGTGGCGGGGGACTTCTGGATGCCTTCCAGAGCTTCTCTGCCACCATGAGAGGCATCTTGGAACCCCCCCCCCCAACACTGATAGTGCTGCACTATCGGCGGTGGGGGGGGACCTCCGAGATGCCTCCCATGGCAGCAGAGAAGCCGTGGAAGTCATCTGGAAGCAGATCGGCAGCCTACAGACTGGAAGGAGGAGGCAGGGAAAGTGCCACATTTGAATTTGGCGCTTTTCCCGCCTCCCTCTTCTGATCTGTAGGTCGATTCTTCGGCCGCAAGTTGAAGTGAAACTTTGCAGCCAGAGAAGTCCGTAGGTCGAAAAGTTTGTAAGTGGAGCCGTACATAAGTCGAGACTCCACTGTCCTTTTCAAAGTTCTTATCAATAGTTATCAGGTAGGAGCTTACTCTCTCTTTTTGTACCAAGCAATTCTATGTTATTGTTGTCTATTTGTTTTCTATTTTCATTCTTATTAAACTCAAATGGGTAAGAGAAGATTTCTTCTCAGGCTCCAAGGTGGCATGAGGGGGGTCAATCCTGGACCTTCCCCAGTGAATAATGGGCTTATGTATCAAGCATCTGCCCCATGAAACATCCCATTTAAGGATATGCTGCTGTCAGAAATACTATAGTTACACAGAAAGAGCTTTCCATGATCACCAAAGATCCTCCAGGGTGGACACAGTCCTTCCCTAGCTTTGAACTTTCCACAGAAAAGGAGGCATTTCTTCCCCTCTTCCTTCCTTTTCCTGCTACAGTATTATTTTCAGAAAGTGAGCAAGCTACACAGTCCCAGTTCACCCACATACACATCAGAGGAAGAGATTGGTAAAACATTTCTGAGTATACCTGGAAAACCCTAGCAAGAGTCACCATAAGTCAGAATTGACTTGAAAGCACATTATATGTCATATATAGTGAAGGAAGCAAATGTAAATCATTTGTGCTTCACTCA